GTGTCCGGGCAAAAAGTCGATTTCGAGATTTTGTGCTTACGCGGGCCTATTCGCTATGTGGATCCGAAAATTCACACGGAGCGCAAAAATTGCGGAAAAGGGCTCTAACGCAGGAGAAAAAACGCAGGTGGGCAGGGTCTACACTGTGGATTCACGCTTTCAGCTTCCGGACGATCTTCTCAATTCCGATAACCACCCTGACATCGCCACCGGTCGAGTGAACGCATGACTTGAAATCAAAACCGAGAAGATCTCTCCGAAATCCGGGAGTGAATCCGTGGGGAAAACTTCGCCCATCTGCGTTTTCTCTCCTGCATTAAAGCCCTTTTCCGCCGTTTTCGCGCGCTCCAATGTGATTTTCGGATTCAGCGTAGCGGATAGGCTCGGATAGGCACAAAACTTCAAAATCGACTTCTTGCCCGGGCACTGCTTTTAAGGATAAGGGGCCAAAACAAAACAGACCCTTGTCTTCTTCCGCAAGGTACTGATTGATATCCGGTTCGAGTAGATGCGGTGCCAGTTGTATACCGGCTAGTTCACGTATCGCAGCGAAAAGAGGGAGCATCTGCTCATTAAATCGTGCCAATAGAGTCCTAAGTAGAACATAAAAATAGGCCCATGACTTCATATTTCAAAACCTGGTGACTTGAGTTGGTCCTCCAGTTATGTCTTGCGTAACCTCGCCTTGACACCGCCAGCATTTCAACGTTCCAGTTTGTATGTCAAATATCCTGTCTATGTCCATGTCCTAAAGGTTGCACAAAAATCTGAGAAAGTGATAACCCAGCCCACCTCATACTGAGCTCCACACTGATCGCATTTGTAGTTGGCTTTTTGTAGCTCATTCTTCTCACGTGCCTCCAGCATCTGTCTGCATGGAAAAAATTTCCTCAGATAGGAAAATATTGAAATCATAATTTGATATACCTCATGTGATCAATTTTATACTTCAACACGTTGATTATAGCCCTATAGTTTATGAAATAAAAGATGATAGAGACATTCCTCCCAGTTTCGTTCTTTTGCTGCAGTAACCGATCTTTTACCAACTTCTCATTTTTCAGCCCTGCCAATAGCTAAATGAAGTATTGTGCGGAGAGCAAGAAAAACAGAATTCTCTCATGGATGACAACAAACCTGCCTTAACTGTTTCTGGTCAAAGTTCAACCGACTCCGTAGGTTTTCTTCTCGTATACAGACAGATCTCATTATATAGTAGACGACAAGGTAGTGCTCCTAGAAAGGAAATAAAACTTTTTTGTTCGGTATCGGTTATAAGGTATTCCAAAATAATGTAACGAACAATGAGATTTAGAAACTCTTTTTTTTTCAAAAGCTTTCGCGGATCTGCCATAAAGCAGGGGTGGCTTCAACTTAGATTACAGTAAAGACCGAATCACAGATCCCC